GGGAGGCTGAGGCAGGAGACTCGCTTGAGCCAGGAGCTGGAGGTTGCTGTGAGCTGTGATGCCACGGCACTCTACCCAGGGGGAGAGCTTGAGGCTTGGTCTCAAAAAAAAAAAAAAAACTATAAGTAATTAAAAAACATATGAATAAAAGCTTATTTGCTTTTCATTTGTTGCTTGTGTAGTACGATACAATGAGGCCAGGTGAAGTGTCAAGCCAGAGGCTCCTGAAAACAAAGAACCCTGCCTCATTGCAGTCTCATATGGCTTATGAAATATAGGCACCTCACGACCTACGAAAAACCACGATTTCACGGAAGACTAGTATCTGTAAAACGCCTTGAGAACAGAGTGCCAATGCTAATAATTAGAAGGACTGAATTGTTACAGGAACTTCAAATTGTCCTTTGATCCGTGGACATGAAAATGTATTTTCCTAAGATCCCTGCTGATAATGCTGCCCTTTGGTTAATTTAATTTATTTTATCTGATTTAATTCATTTCAATTCTACCCTCAAAACAGTCATATTTTTATTACATATTACAAATCTCCCTAATTTGACAACTAAAAACATCCACACTTTCTATGAAAAGACAGGACCACATAATTTTTCAAGAGAGTCTTTGTAATTTTTGCCTCTGCTGATTTTTGACCTAGTTAAAGATACCATAGGATATTATTTAGGTAATAAAAAAATACGAAGAACGTAGAGAAAAAGGAGCCGCGGGCATGTAGAAATAACCTTCCTGTGTTTTCCACCCAGTAAGTGCATGAGGGCAGGTGCTCGCACAGGCAGGGAAAGGGCGTCTCTAAAGCCCCAGTGGAAACTTTTGATTTTTATAAATAACTTGACGGCTAAAGGTAAACGCCACCGGTTCCCACGCAGTCTCCTGCAGTCTCCACGGTGGAGTCCCTCTCCTCCCCGTCCTCCTCTTCCTCGCTCCGGGCCGATTTCCTGCCGGAGCCGGAGCCCGGGCATGCCCGGCCCTCCCGGCCTCCCGGCCCGGCACCGCCCGTTCTCGCCGACGTGGCAGAGCGCACAGGTCGGCCGGGTCAGGTGGTTGGGTGACGCCCCGGGAAGGCGCGCCCCGCCGGAGCGGGCGGCGCCGCCGCGTCCGACGCCTCTGGGGGTGGGGACTTCGCGGGAGTCGCCGGCGGAGGCGAGGAGGAGCTTGGGGCGGCGCGGCGCGGCGGGCGATCCGAGCTGGGACGGCTGCGGGCGGCGGAGGCGCAGAGGACGCGAGGCGGCGGGCGGGAGCCATGGAGCACAGCGAGCAAGGTGAGGGCGGGCCCCGCGGGCGCCGCGGCTTCGGGGCGCGCTGGGCTCTGCGCGGGGCTGCTGCGGCCGGGAGCCCGAGCAGGTGCCGGGCCTCCCGGGCCCGGGCGGCAAGTTGCGTCTCCCGGATCCAGATCCGGAATCCCGGGGCGGCCGAGCTGGAGGGAGCGGCTCCGGCGGCCGGAGCTGGCAGATGGGGCCGCGCGCGCCCGGGTGTGAGTGTGTGTGTCAAGAGACAGAGACAGAGAGAGACAGAGAGAGACAGAGAGAGACAGAGAGAGACAGAGGAGGTTCTGGGAGGCGGCGAAGGGCCGTAGGGGCTGGCGCCAGGCGTGCAGAGCTGGGGCTACAGTCGTGATGCGCTTTGGGCTTTGGGTACGGAAAGCCGCGGCTGGAGTGCAGTACAACTAGCTCGTCTAAGTGACAGGAACCGAGAAACTGAGGACACTGGATCGCCTTCGATCTTCGTCATGGGAACATGACCCCCCGCCGCACCCCAATGTTAAGACTTTCTGCCCTCTTCTAAGTTAAGACGGGTTTTTGGTGGCTTTTGATCTTATGGCGACGGTTTTGGACGCACATGTTTAACATACCAAGTGGCACCGAATGGTGGTGTCTATGGGTTTATTTGTGGGGACGGAGTGTTTCATATTCTTTTACCCGTTAAGAATAAACCCCAAAACCCATGGTCTAATTCACCATAGCTTTGGCCGCACTCCTCTCTTCAGACAGTAACTCAAATAAAATTGCCCTTAATAGAAAATCATTGAGAGGTAGTAACAGTAGGGCACGGTTTTCAGATTTAAATATTGCTTCATCCTAGAGATCTCTGCTGCTGACAAACCGATGACTCTAACACAGATAGGTGTGGGATGCTTTAAAAAGGATAACAAGACAACATTGGGGCTGAGGATGGGCATCACTCCTGTTTTGAGCCCTGACACAAAGTTAACCATGTTTTACTCCCCCCTCCCATGTTGCCTTATGTGTGAATTTTTATGTAAATGAAACTAAATTCCGTATGTACTATTTCGTATTTTACTTTTGATAAGGACTTTCTGGAGCCTTTCAACCCTTCCTCTTTCCCCACCCTTCAAATTAATTTCTTACTTAACATATGCATGCTTATAAACACTTAAAACCTGAGTGCTTATAAACATTGTCTACGATGTACTTTATGCATACATTCACATACACATTACATTGTAGTAGAAGCTTCTTAATGTGGGCCAGGTTTTTAAAGTGGGGATGGGAGGGCAAAAGTGTACATGCATATTTGCATACTAATCTGTTTTACATTGTCTTTTTATTTTTGAGACAAAGTCTCAAGCTGTCACCCTGAGTAGAGTGCTCTGGCATCACAGCTCACAGCAACCCTAAACTCTTGGGCTTCAGTGATTCTCCTGACTCAGCCTCCCAAACAGCTGCGGCTACAGGCGCCTGCCAAAACTTGGCCCAGCTATTTTTTGGTTGTAGTTGTCATTATTGTTTGGCAGGCCTGGGCTGGATTCGAAGCCATGAACTCCAGTACATGTGACTGGCGCCCTAGCCACTGAGCTCCAGGCGCCAAGTCTACATCGTCATTTTTAACATAATTATGTTTTTAGAATAACTGTTTGGTACCTGTCAAAGTAGACTGAATAGCTGTGTTTGATTTAGGTGAATAGAGTGACTAGTTTTAATAAATTTTGTGTTCTAGTTTGGGTAGATACCACTTCGGTATTCCAGTTTGCTAATATATTTTTTATGTGGTTTCTATAGGACTTTTTCTTTTTACTGAAGTGTCTACTTCTGAGACATATTATGTCAGTTCTTTGGCTTATGAGTCTTTTTGTGTCTATAATTTCAGATGTTTTCTTTGGTTGGGTTATGTTAGTCATGTTAGTCTTGTTTTTAATTGTCCTGGCTTGTGGGCCAGGGAAATCCACCCTCTCAACATGGAGGACTCTGCTAAGCATGGAAGAGGAATCATCTGCTTTGGGAAGGTCAGCTGATTTAATCTGGAGCTTTGCTGTGTTGGAACCACGAGGCTTTTCCTTGCACTTTTGCTTCTAAACTCTTATATCTGCCTTTTCATCTTTATGTTCCCAGGTACACAGCAGGGGCTCAGAAATGTTTGTTAACTGCCTTAGATGAAAGGGAAAAGCACTCCAGAGCAGGTTCCTGCCCCTGGAACCTCTATGTCCCTCCCAAGTTATTCTCTTTCCCATTTTCACCTGTTCTTCCCCCATCCGTCCCCCTATTCTCAAGATGCGGAACTCTGTGGCTAGGTAAAGACAGTTGCTGCTAAAGCTGTGTTGAGCTTAAAGGGTAAGTTCACGGACAAGGTTTTGAATTAGCTTGGTGAATCTGGTGAGATTCCTGTCTTAAAGTGAAAAAGAGTGGAACTGGGGCTTTTTAAACCTGATGTTCAGTAGCATCTGTGTTGCTGAAATAAGGTTTATACTTGGGGACTGTCTTCTTGAATTACGATTTTTTACAGGTATTTAAAGCCAATCAGAAACTTGTAGGATTTGTTCAACTTTATTTTTTTTTTACATGCATCGAGTTTTCTTCCATTTGTCCCTTAATAAAACACCAAGACAACCGTAGATGCAAAAATAAATAGCCTACCTCTTGTCTTCAGTTCATTTCTCTATTGAAATGTCTCTTAAACCTTCTTATATAAAGTTGTCAAAATCTATTCCTTGCTACTGATTTTGTTTAACAGAGCTATAAAGTTTAAAAATGAGCACAGAGTTTATCACGTATTCTAATGCTGGTATTATCAGGGCGAGATACTCCGATTTTTGTACTTGGTCTTCTACCCAGACCTGGCACATAATACCCTGCTTATATTGAGAGTTCAGTAAACGTCAAGTGATTTAAATATGTTGAATTGCACCATGCCTTTCAAGAGTTTCTAAGCATTAAGCTCAGCACAGCATATTTAATGTGTGTGGTATTTCCTACTTTCAAAGAGCAGTGCGTGCTAACTAGAGCATACATTGGTTAAAAAAAAAACCCTCCTGTCTACTTCTAATGGGGCTGAATAAATATTTATGCTGAGCGCTCTCATGTGAGTCAACTTTAGTTTAGCACTATTATGGCAAAGTAACCGTCACCTAGCATTTTACTACTTTGAATGAAAACACACATATTTTTAGAGGAAGAGGAAAGGTTGCTGGGGCCAAAAAACTAGGGAGAGGGTCCGGATTCAAACAGAGTAGTAGCACAATAACATGTCACTATTATAGATTCAGTACTGTAATTTTACCTTAGAAAGAAAAATGTGGGATGTCATTTATTTAAAAGTAAAGCAAATGTAGAGAAGATTGGTTACAGTTTTGAGGTCCGCTGGCAAGTCTCTGGGTAGGAGTAATTTATTTGGTCATCAGTGTCTCGATTTCCATATGGTGCTAATGTCTTTGTCAGCTCTTCTTCACTTCCTGCATTTATTTTTATGCAGCAGCCCGCCTAGTCTCTAGGGGAAAAAGCTGAGTGGTAGGAGAGGCTGTGAGCTTTTAGCAGGCTCTCAAAACCATAATCTATGCATGCAATAAAAACAAATACACTCACAGTTCAAAACAAAAAAGGGCACTCAACTCCCTAACCTTCAGTGTAACTGGGCCTTTTGTCCTAGGCAAAGATTATTTCGTTTTCCTTTCCGGGTTGATTATTGTTGCTTTCATTGTTGATTACTGTAAAGATTTCTCTTCTGAGACATTCTCAAATTTTATTTAAACTGAGTGGGTACCAGCCGTACTGAAACCGTACTTTTAGTAACGTATTTTTATTAGAAAAATGTCCAAATGATTAAGGGATTTTAATATTTGGTGGAGGCTGAAAAAAAGTTAGAATGTAAAAATGCTTCTTGGTGCCTAAGAATAGTTGTTCATTTTTTAAAAATTAGAAATATAGATGTAGAAAAAGGAAATAAAATCACTCGTAATTCTCCTTTGGAAAAAAATCGTAATTAACATATTGATTTACACCTGTTCATATATCTATCCTTTTAAACAAATCACACAATAATTTCTTACTGAATATCCCATTTTGTAATTTCCCTTTTTTTATTTTTAATTTTTTTTTTTTGAGACGGAGTCTCATTATGTTGCCCTCAGTAGAGTTCTGTGGCATCACAGCTCACAGCAGCCTCCAACTCTTGGGCTTAAATGATTCTCTTTCCTCAACCTCCTATGTAGCTGGGAACAGGCGCCTGCCACAATGCCTGGCTGTATTTTGGTTGTAGTTGTCATTGTTGTTTGGCAGGCCTGGGCTGGGTCTGAACCTACCAACTCCACTGTATGTGGCTGGCACCCTAGCCACTGAGCTATAGGCACCAAGTGTTTTTACTTTATTTTTTAAATTGACATATAATAATTGTACATATTTAAGGGGGTACATAGTGATGTTTCCCTGATCTGATCAGGGTAATTAGCATATTTATCATTGCAAACATTTACCATTTCTTTTTCTTTCATTCTTTTTTTTTTTTTTTTTGAGACAGAGCCTCAAGCTATCCCCCTGGGTAGAGTGCTCACAGCAGCCTCCAACTCCTGGGCTCAAGCGAGTCTCCTGCCTCAGCCTCCCAAGTAGCTGGGACCACAGGTGCCTGCCACAACGCCTGGCTATTTTTTTTTTTTTTTTTTGGTTGCAGCCGTCATTGTTGTTTTTGGTGGGCCTGGGCTGGATTCGAACCCACCACCTTAGGTGTATGTGGCTGGTGCCTTAGCCACTTGAGCCGCAGGTGCTGAGCCTTTTTCTTTTTTTTTTTTTAGACAGAGTTTCACTTTGTCACTCTCAGTAGAGTGCAATGGCATCACAGCTCACAGCAACCTCCAGCCTTTGGGCTTAGGTGATTCTCTTGCCTCAGCCTCCCAAGTAGCTGGGACTACAGGTGCCTGCCACAATGCCCCGCTATTTTTTGTTGCAATTTGGCTGGGGCTGGGTTCCGGCCTACCACCCTCTGTATATGAGGCCAGTGCCCTACTCACTGAGCCATAGGTGCTGACCCATTTATC